TTCAAAGTTGATTATTTTATTTCAAACCTCTTAGTATTATCCTTTGGTGTTTCAGTTGATTTGTTCCCACTCTGGGCATCTTCTAATTAATCCCTTTGTGACTCACCTCAGTGCCAAACTTCCCCTCTTTTGTTCTCCACTCCCTGACTTAGCAGCTCTGGCTGTCAGTGCTCTGAGCCAGGATTGGTCTAATATCTCTCTTTTATGCTTATCCTCCTCATTGGCTTCTTAATTGTGTTCTATTTCTCATTCATGTCACCCCTTGACAGATCTTTCTAATTGCTCCTACTTGGTCAGCTCAGTTGTGGTTCCCCATCTTACACCATTTGATATACATGGAGCCCATTCCATTTCCTGGCCCCCATAGTAATTCAGTGGTAAGTCTGTAGGCTTATAATGCTAAAAATCAGGTTTCTTGACCCATGGTGGGCACATCACAAATAGCCCATTTTGTGGTTTTATATTTAACAACAAATAAAATCAACTTCTTTGAAGGTTTCTTCTAACTCAGCCACAGATGTCCATCTTTCGTGATGAGGTGTCATGCCTTTGGCTTCATGCATGGGGTTTTTCAGGTCACTTGTTTGACTCTCAGGCTTTTCATCCAGAGTAGTCCATTTCCTGTCTTATTCTTGCTGTTTTTTTTACAATGGCCCTCTATCAGAGCAAATGGATTACTTACCACTGCTGGTCCCTTTGCTCTTCCATCGGGTTGTTCTACTCAGGCCTATATCACTACATATTTTACTTGGCTTTTTGATAGAGGTTTATCTGTGTTGATGATCACTGGTTATAGAGTTTCTTTTTCCACCATCTTTTGTCTCTTACCTGGCCCTTATCCCTTTCATTTTCCAATTTTGATAGACCTCTTCCATTTTATCCTACCAGTCATCCCCTCTCCCAGTACTTATTCAGGACTGGAACCTCTGCATCATTCTCCAGGCTGTCACTACTTCCTCATTTCAACCTCTGACCCACTGTTTTTTTTATAATCTATCCCTGAAGTCATATTTTCTCCTCCAGCTTGCTTGCAGGAGACATCATTCAAATATTTATACATTGGATGCATCCTATACTTTTTATCACAGGGAGCAGTTGATTTTTTTCCAGACCACTCCTTTCTTCCAAAGACTTGGACTGCTCAGGAAGGAGATTGTATATTCTCCCATCATTTTCTCTTCTGTTTCTTCTTCATATGATCATTCCAACTGCAGTTGTCTTTAAGTGTTTGGTTGAGGCTGTTTGTTGTTATCTCACTCGAACTGCCCCTTGTGTGGAAACCACTATTGCCTGTTCTCTTCTCATGACTTGTCACATTCAGTTTTAACCAGATGGGTTCATTACCTCATCCTATTTCTTGGGTGAGGATGCCCTTTAACTTTATTGCATCACCTCTCATCAGGTTTGTCATCTCAAGGCCTCTCTTGCTTCTCACCAATATTGTTTCATGGATGTGATCCTACAGGTCAGAGTGTAGACAACACCTAACACATTTGTATCATGTTACCTACATTACATGGCAGTTTGTTGTGCTTCTTGCTTTGATATCTCTCCAGTTGCCATTCTCCAGTCTACCCAGAGGCTCTTGTGAGATGAATATTATTATTTGTTCTTCACTTTCTCTCCTGTTCACTCTTTGCTTTCCTTAGGTCTCACTGTCCATCACCTTATGACATTGAAGCCCACCTAGTGACTGCCATATCCTCACTGGGAATAATTATCCTGAATTACAATTGAGAAGGAAAGTATAGAAAGTGTTAAGCCCATCCGCCCAGTGTATATATATATATATATATATATCTTCCAGGCTGTTCTAAGCTTAAAAATAAAAGACAACACCAAGTGTATGCCTACCATGACATCCATTGCACTGTTTCTCATTATGGAACCTAATTTCAGATGATTGTTCCTGACGACACTGTCCAACCACTTATCTGGTGTTCTCCACCATAAAAATTTTCCACTCAATTTCTTCTATTGCAGTATGGGAGACCCCCTCCCTGCTTCCCCAGTCTCAAGCCATTGGGGAATTCAATATGAAAGTTCCTCATCAGGTGGTGCAATCCCACTGGTACAAGACCAAATGGATGCACCCCTTATTTGGGAAGTAGGGCTGAGGTGTTACTTGGTAGTGTAATACAGGACTTCCAATTATGCTCCTTTGTAGTTCCAGCTGGATGGGTCTTGGGTTTGCCTTATGATACAGGTCTGTTATGCTACTCACTATACCTGATTGTGATATCTCATGTAAGTATTTCTCCAATATGAAATGGCCTGATTTCTAGTCCAAGCCACACTACATGCTCATATTTAGCTGGCCACACGTAAGATAATGACCAGTTAAGCATGTTACATTCCATTAACTTTAGTGACACTTTAACACCATGCAAGATCCTTGTAATGTTTTCTTTTGCTCTGTCTCTTCTCCTGACAATGAGTACCACAATAACATTCAGCAAAGAATATTCCCTACTTGAGATGGATGTCGTCTCCCATCTAGTGCTGCCCCACTAGGCTAGCCTCCACCTCATGGATGTTGCACACAGTGGGCTTACCCTTTTTGATGCTGTTTTCAGAAGGTAAGTCATCTTTGTTATTTATTTATTTGAACTGGTCTTCCACCATCTTCAATGTATTTTAAATACCCACCTCTCTGCACAACCTTCCATCCTTCCTCCCCATTTCTGGTGCATATTGTTTGCACTGTCAAAAATGAGCCTGTGTTCACATGCTTGTGCTCCTGGGGATTACTGTATATGTAGGATTTGTTGCCCTCCTTTTGGCGGAGGGCTAAGTCTAATGATGATTACATCAAAGGCTAGAGCAATATACATTGACATGTGTTGGAGTTGGAACTTTGTTCAAGGCTTGTGGCACGTGCAGGAATTTGCATGGCAATGCATAGAAGGTAAGAGATTTTTGTGGTGCAGAAAAATGAATATTTATTTGAAATAGATTTTCAGGTAAGGAAAATGTAACTTTTTAATGTTACTATTAAATTAATGCATGATCTCAAATGAGTTGTG